CTATTTGTGCTAGAACAAAGATGGACACACATTCTGATAGCCAATTTCAAGTGCTTTCACAAGGATTCAAAACCGATCAGATCTGACAGTTCATGTTTCTCCAATTAATTTAGAAAGTTGAGCTATTTACACAGTCGATCAGTGATCCGCCAAAATATATACTTGAAGTGAGTATTGAATTCAGTTTAACAAAATCCAAAATCTTTAGCTGAAAATATAATATGATAAAGGTATATTAGTTTTAGAAATGTACGAAGTTTTGAAGTATTGACAGGTTGGAGTGTTGGACAATTCGTGCATAATTTCTCACGAGGTCGATATTGTAAGAGGTTTTGTTTTGTCCAATACAATTCGAGAAACCATGTTATTGGATAAAAAAGTTTGGCGGATCACACTGGTCAGTTGGCGGATCACTGATCGGTCACGTTAGTCGAGAAGCTTGATCGTCTGGTTGATTGAATGAATGGCCAACAACTCAAGTGGGGTCGGTTCTGGGATGGCTGTCATTGGTGCTGGAGCTACCATGATATGGCTGAAAGATCGTCACGTTGCGGGCGAAAGGGCAAAATAGAATATGGATGCGGAATGGAATGAGTTGAAAAACCTCTCGAATAATAATAAGAAATGTATACGAAGCGCGTCTGGGAACAGTAACAATTGGAGGATAAAATGGAATTTTGTAAGGCTGCGTCTGATATTGTGAATTCCGGTGAAATTTGCCGTTTTGGGGGTGGTGGATAGCGTTTTGAACTTGTCTAAACCATAGATATGAGTCGACGTGAATCCTCTACGATCCTACACCTTGTAGCTCGAGTTGTTCTACGGTCTAGCCGAAAACTTTGATGCCATGGAAGTTAGAGAATGATGAACCATCGCTGTTACTGTATTTTACTGATTTGCATCTAAAATCGAAATAGATGGAACATCATTTGAATATATTGAACAAAGTGTGAAATATACCGGTTATGGGGTGATATATACCGGATATCAGTCGAAATATACTGCAACAATATAGGGTCTGGACGAAATATATCGCATGCTAGGCGAACATAACGCACTATTAATAGTAGTGTGAATCTGGTGAGCAATACTAGTATTCCGGAAATAACCTGAACTTGTTAGTAGTAAATGAAAAATGGTGTACTGTAGTCACTTGAACTCGCGGCGACATGGCAGCATGATCGCCAACACAGTTTTCCACTTCCTATTCATCTAGGGTTCTCATGCAACCATGTACTACATCTCGTGTTGTCATGACAACACGTAACTCAATTAACAACTAAGCTTACCGGTATACTGTACCAGTATAAGCTTGTCCGGGCATAGCATATTCGCGATGAGCAGACGGGGGCCAACAGAAATCAAGTACGGTTGCACTCGGGGTACATGTGCGCACGTGATTGCTCTCGATGGGACTGCGGTGTGGCGTAGTTTCCTTGAATGTACCGATGGTGGCGTCGGCGTTCGCTTCGAAGGGCAAGTTTCGAATAGCACCTTCTCATGCGCAACAGAACCTCTATATACTAGTATATGTAAATTACTACAGAACCTCTATATACTAGTATATGTAAATTACTAGTATACCATTACAGGTTTTGATCGGTTCTGACAGTGAAACCGAATCGTATTCCAATAACTATAATTAATATTAATAATAGTTACTATTTTAATCCTTCGTATTATTATTAATATTATTAATAGTTATTATTAATATTAAAGTATTAAAAGTATGTACTACGTAGTACCTTTGTTTTATTAGTACCTCCATCATTTCATTTTTACCATTTTTAAATGGTAAAAATGAAATGTACTCCGGAGTACTAGTAGTAGGGTAAAAATGAAATGATGGAGGTACAGTATTAATAATACTAATAAAGCATTTTGAAATACGATTGGTTCGTTTTCCACCAATGAGGAGAGACCCAACAGCTCAGAACTGACTTGGACATGACGACGCGGCAGCGACGCGAACCATCACCATCAAGCGATGGCCATCGATGCCAAGCATTTCGTCGGCGGAAGATCCACGAAGAACAATCATCCTTGATGCATGTCGACGTCCCCGTAAGCGCATGTGTGGCTCGACGGCAACGCGCCAAGCGACGACAACAGACGCCTCTTCGTCCGTCCTTGCATTCCCCAGTAGCCATGATGGCGTTGCTGAACCGCCCCGCTTCTTCCAGCGCCACAGAGGATGACATGGACACGTGTTCCTTGGTCTATGTTTCTTCGTCTGAAGACGTCGACACTATCGAAATAATTCCGTCCCCACCCCCCACGCCCGACCCAAGCGATGCATCGATTGTTTCGATTGACGAGGAAGAAGCTCTTGTCGTGCCATCGCCAAACTGGGTCCTTCCTGCTGCAGACTGCATACACATGTGGAGGTACTGGTTTCACGGCGACAGCATCGGCAACCGCACAATCATCGACAGCCATCTCATCACGGTGCCATTCCGCCTCTTCCACATTCCATCGGACAGGTCTCTGTACAACTCGTTCGACGCCGTGTCGTTTGCCATGTCAACAATCCTTGCGCACTCGTCTGTGTCCTCCGCCGCCGAGATGTCCGCGATGTCTCCCGCCGCCCTCGATGCCATTCTCGTCGAGGCATTACCGCGGGCGTACCCCTCTCGACGACCTACCGACGACATGTACATGTTGTTCACGTCATTTCCACGCCCACCCCCACCCCCCCAGCCATTCCTGTTTCCGTCCACGTCGATTCGCGTCATGTGGATGCTCTGGTTGCGCGGATACGATGGACGACCGCCGCTGGACAAACTTCGCGCGCGCGACCTCCACGACGACGCATCCAAGCGGCGGTGGTGGAGCACCAAGCAACTGTTTGCAAAATTGACGGATGTGGCGCTACTTATGCCGTGGGTGTCGTCCAAAGAGATGCTCGTGACGGGGATGGACCTGCCGTCGTTCCGCCTCATGTGCGACGAGGTGGTGGCGCTCTTTGCCTACGAATGTGGCTCTAAATGTACGTTGAATGCAGACAGTTTGTGCATCTTGGCGGCGACGTGGGTCACGGAAACGCCGTACGGCAGCATGTCCCTCACAGCGCCGTCGTACGATCGTCCACCGCGTCCTGCTTGCACGAGTCGCCCTATGATATGCGACGATGTGACGCAAGCCGACGAAGGCCAGCTGCCTGCGCTGCCAGTTCGGACCATGTGGCCACTGTGGCATCGCCGAGATGTGTCGCAGGTTCCATACAAGGCCAGGACATGGGCGAGCGGGTCGATTCTCGCAAAGACCCGCCGCGTGATGCGCACGCTCACGGAGATCGCCGTGGAAACCCACCGCGTGCTTGATGAAGAGGCGCTGGAACGCCTGTCGACGGCGTCACTGTATCGCATGTTTGACGAGGTATTTCCCGTCCTCGCCAGTCGCTACGACGTGGCCGTGCAACATTTGGTCACCCCCGACAAAAAGTGTGCGAATCTCGTGCGATACCAGTATAAAACGAGTAGATAACGTTATGTACTAGTGGCGCTGATAGTACAGTGTTCACGTGGCACAGGCAATATGGTTTTCAGTCACAGCAGTAAAAATGTGTGTGCTGCAGAGTACTACGTAGGTAGTAAACGACACTTGTATGGGTTGGGACTGCTATTGTACGAGGTTGTCACGCTCTGTGACATCGTCGCGAACCGTGCTACATAACTGTGGCCATGTGCACAGAACTGGACTGTACCGCCGCCCTTCATCGTGTCGATGTAACTGGCAATCTCTATTTTGACTTCTGACCGTTCAAAGAAAACTACGAAACCACGACTGTAGGGAATTTGAAAGTTCTGGCCAAAAATTCGTCGTTTTTCGCTAAATACGAAAAAAGCACTCCAAATTGGCATTTTTTCGAAATGTTTGGTGTTTCTGTCACAATCACTGCTACTTCGCCGCTACCACCATGGCCAGTTCAATTGACTTGACCAGTGCCGCGAGCTCAAGCTCCGTGGACGATTGGGGTCCGTCGACGAAGTCAAACTCCGTGGATCTAACGGCCATGCCGTCGCCGCTGCGTCGTCGGCATGAAGTCATTTCTGTCGGCACTGATGGCACACCACCGCAACGTGAACCTACGTGGATTGTAGTACCTTCCGATTCCGACGATGACGACAACAACGTCAAGGTCACGATGGCCCCAACAGCACACGTCAAAGTTTCTGACGCCGCTCCCCGTCCGCGACCTGCCAAACGGACGAAAAACCACTTGGCCACGTCGAAGAAACCACGGACTGCCATCCCACTCCCGCCCGCCGTGGCCACCAAGTACGTATGGGACGATGGCAGGTCGAGGAAGGTGCCGCAAGGCTGGACTTTTCCGGACATGACGATCGCAAAGTTGTGGATGTGCTGGTTCCACGGCAGCCCCGAGGAAGGCATCGGTCCTTTCCGGGAGCTGACCCAAGACGACTTCGAGTCGACAACGTGCGTGTCGTACGTTCGCTGCTGGGAGGTGGCGTCCGTCGTCATGAGCGCGTTCCTAACAATCGCAGTGTCGAACGACCTCATAGACGAGAACAAAGTCGCCGCTACACCTCCCACGACCCTCGCAAGGCAGTTTCTTGCCGTATTTGAGCGAATATATCCGGACGAAGACCCCCAGACGAAACTCATGTCGTCGTGCTTGTCTCCTTCTGAGTGGCCCCAGGACGATGCCGACGTGGCCACCGCCCCCCTCGTGTTCCCCCGTGGGCTGACGTGTGTAGAGATGTGGCGCCAATGGTTTCACGGCACCCCCACGCCCCTCCGACAGCTCCAACCGTCGGACTTTGACTCACCTGATTGCAAATCTCACTGGTCCAACGCCAAGCAGTTCATTGCTCACGTCGCGACTACCGCCAAGTCCCTCGACCTTGTGGCCACCAAGAAAGCAATCGCCCTTCTGGACAAGAATGCGTTGGATCGGGTGATGGAAGCTGCGTTCACGGTTCTGGCCTCTAAGCAAGAACATGCACTTACGACCACCCAAAACACCAAACACTCTGTCGTGGACGAAGCGTTGGTGGCGTGGCTCAACAACCAAGCCGCCGCCGCCACGCCACCGCCGTCCGACCTG